TAGGCCTATTCCCACAACATTTTATACCAACATCGTACAAGTCCCCCATTGGGCACAGTCTTGACAGAGAAGCATGGGTCAAGCTGAACAGACTGAGATCTGTATGTGGACACTTTAGAAAAACATTTTGCAAGATGAACATCTTGGATAGCTCCCTGTGTGAATGTGACAGCAAACAGCATAGCACTTAATGAAAAGTTTTACAAATGCCCAGACAGGGCAGATGGAATCTGCACATTGAGTGATAATACCAGACAGAGATTTGGCTCATAGATTTGGAAGTTGATATCTGGTGCCATATGGGTAATGTTCTGCATTCTCAGTTTTTATTTAAAAAACAAAACAAAACAAAAAAAACAGGAATTTTTTGGAGTTTATCTTTAAAACAAAAAATGGGATGAAATGAGGATAAAAGGAAGAAAAGGAAATAAAATCAGGGAAAAACTGGCAGTGAGGGAGGGAAGAAGTAAGGCTGGGACTAGGGAAGGGGCAGGGAAAGGGGTGCAGTGCAGCCCATTGGCCACTCCCAGGGCTGCAGTAGGGAGCAAAGCATGGGGAGCTGTTGGTGGGTACAGGGTGGGGGGGCGTGGTGATTGTTGCTGTGTGCCTCCTGGGAGGGCTGCAGGCCAGGGGGCCTGTGATGGGGCTCTTCCTGGGGGGGCGCATGCCCCTGGATCAGCAACAGGAAGTACATGGTGTTGCACCCTGCCTTTCTTTCCTGGCTGCGTTTGTGCCCCTCCCCCCTGCTGCAGTAGCTGGTGGGCTGCCCTGGCATTTGCAGGCGAAGGGGGAGTGTTGCACAGCTGGATGTGATGGGGGAGGGGGGACCTGACCCTGGCACCTCCTGCCCCACCCAGGGTCAGAGCTGGGAGCCCCACGCCGCCAGGCAGCGGCTCCAGCCCCACAGGCCTGTGCAGAGCGGCTGGGTGCAACGCCCACTGCAGGGAGTGAGGCCAGGCTCCAGTCACCCTCACCCGGCCCCTGCACATCCACCACCACCCCCTGCCCCCCAACTTCGCATGCAGCTGCTGCTGCCACCTGCCCACCCCCTCCCCATCTGGCTGGAAACCTGTGCCTCAAGTAACTGGCACAGTGGCACTTTTAGCTTACCAGCACCACCCGTTTTTCAGTTCAAA